ATTCGTTAGGAGTCGCTTTTGCTCCTTTACTGCTCGTCCCTCACGCCTTTTAAGTGGGACAAAAAATACTGTCTTGATTAAATGATAAAAACACGATAAGTGAGTTTTGTTAGTTTCCCATTTGTTTAGGTATGTATCTAAACACGAAGGTGCGTGAATTGGATGCAGATAGCATAACCCGTTGGCTAAGTGGCGTCGCAGCCAGGTTTGAAGCCAAATTTTGTCTTCATGGATAACCCTTCGCATAGGTCCTTGGTCGATGTGTGGTGGTGATCAAACAAGAATTCTACCTGTTTGGCCACACTTTCAGGGATATCGAGGTTGCATGGACACAGGTGTGTGCTTTGCCATTATGAAAGTTCCTGCCCCACTTCAACATAGACATCAAGGCTAGTTGTACACGTTACTGGCCTTCTGATATGGTCTCGTAGAACAATGCTTATCCATCCGCCCCATACCTGCAAACGGGCTAATTGTATCGCAAGCTGTGCTAGTCTAAATTCAGTGTGACGTTAAAAATAACGTCGCTCTGCAGCTTTCGTGGTAGAGAGACACTGCTCACACAAACGCGAGCACACATTATGCGAACTTGTCTATGTGCAAGCCAAAAGCTAAGGGAGTTGACTCCACTAGTTCTTGTCGTTGGAGGGCACGACAGTGTGTCGAGTGAGACCTGCTAATATGCGTACCATGAAATGTTGTTGGGTGGCCTCCACCTCCCTCTTCCGCCTCCTCAGTGAAGATAATGACATGAAATCTGAAGGTGGTGAGGCAGCTGTTTTGGGAATCGCTCCTTCTCTCTTCCATGATGGTGCCTCAGTCGAACTGCTGTCGCCACCTCCACCTCACCTTTTCTCCCTCCTTTTCCTCTACATCTACGACCGTCACAGTGTCTCGTTAACTGCCATCGCCTTTAAAAATGATTAAAAACAGAAGATCAAGTTGGTTGACATTTCTAACAATAAGATGAATTTGTGTAGTCGTTGCATATCACAACAGTTCTAATGAATTCATGGGGTATTCTGCCCCTTCTATTTATCTCAACGGTGGTTGGAGAACAAGAGGTAGCAATGCGACAATTCCTGTTTCAACAGAAGATTTCGTTTAAAGCCATCACATTTCACACTAGTTGCAGTGGTATTTGCATAACATTGATTCATTTTTCACAGTTAACCTACGCACGCACACACACGCGAACTCAGAGCATCAGCGTAGTGTAAAACAGGAAATGCTACGTGATGCGCTATTAAAAACTGCATAAATTTGGATAACTTTTAGGGATACCATTAGCTCTATTAAAGATTAGAGCAATTACAAACAAAATGAAGCATGCAACTTTATTGTGAATGCTAGGGGATGGTCCTCTTATTTAAAAATGAGAGAGAAATAAAACCGCAGTGAAAAGATGTTCTTAATCACAGGTGCAGATTATTCAGAATGAAAGCTCAATATTTTTAAAGGATTACGTTGACAGTGGATTTGGTGAGCCTTCAATTACGGCCAAATCTCAAAGCTTTCTGCCATATTTATTTGCCAATGGACAGATATCAGAGACACCAGAACGCATTAACATTTAGGAATGGGGAACACGCCAAGAAGCACCTGGGTGCAGGTGGATTGTAGCATTCGAATAAGCATCCACCGAGGCAATGAGGTTCATGCCAAATCCTGATCCTCATTGCATCCACCAGCCGGTTGCGATATTCGGATTCGAAGAACTGTAGACCAACCAGAATTCACGCGTTACAAGTTTACGTGCTTGGAATTCCAGACCCTGCGTTTTTTACTGCAAATAAGAGCTTCAATCCATCATCATCAAAAAGGATAAAATGCTTAATGGGATGATTAGTAAACGGTGTCACACAAAGATTCTTAAAACATTTTGCTTAGTGAATGAGCCACCAAAACAACTAAGAAGTTTTCCTCATGAGCTATAAGCTAGCGAATCCTACTTCTAGGCATAGCTCTGCCACTAGAAGTCAGTAAAAATCTATCTCTGTACCTCCGTGATTCCACTGCACCTCCGGATGAGACAATGGATCCCTTCTTCTTATCCTGAATCACAGAAGAAGATCCCATGTACAAGCATTCTTGCCTATAGATTGAGGGGCATTTTCCATCTTTTGTGTCTAGTGCTGATGGATGTGTGGATGCTAAAGGTGCCGAGCATATCAGGTAACAATGGGCGACGAGAATTGCAACAGCACTTAACACCAGGAATCGACTGAATCAAAGGAGACTTGGGATGTGTTGAGTTGCTTCCTGTGGCGTAAGATAGGAGATGGAGGCGTGTTTGGGGGCATTTGTTTCACGGACTATGGTGCGCAATTGCAAATTCAAGTTTTGCAAAAGGGAGGAAGGCAACGTAAAGGGGTGTATTGGTTGATGTGGGAAAACTGAGACGAGTGAAGTTGGCGGTCAATATGGTGCAGTCGAGAATGATGCAGATGGCAACAGAAGCCTGCTACTGCCACCTGAGAGTTGGCAGAGAAAGATGGGGAATCGATTTTACGTATCAGGCCAGTATGTGGTCCTAGACAGCACACGTTGGAAAAAGACACTGCCGTGTTCCACAAGTGTTTACACTGCTTCTACTCATATTCACCCTTTTTGGGAACTCTGTGCGTAGAGGTGGGTGTTAATGTCGGTGATTGTGAAATGACCCTTTTAAACACACCTGAGGTGTGTGCATATCTAGCTCTTCGTTTCATTCATGATCAGTGGCTACTCTTTGCCTCCTTGAAAATCTCTCTTTGTGGCACGAGATAATGCAAAGTGCCATCTCCACCTGACCATGTGAAAAGTGGAGTAACTCGATTCCCTTATTTTGTACATGGGTCACTTCAAAAGATGCCTCTTTTGTTAAACCTCCTTTGCCTGCTCTTCTTGTCATTACAGATGTCTCATTCTGACCTCCGAGTGGGAAATGATTTCATTCAATATAGCCATTGGTCGTTGAATTTGCCTCTTACTTTAGCATCAAACTACTTTTGCTAATAGGTGAAATTTTATTCCTCCACTTTTGAACATTCAAATGTTATCACTTTTCAATCACTCTTTTGTACGATCATCCTTGTCTTACATTTTGGCAATCCACGTCTCATAAGTGGGCGTTTGGAACCAAATCTTAAAATTGGAAGTTTTACGCAATGGGCTACTGGAGGGTAGAGTCGGCCCAACCATCATGCGAGACGGTCAGTTTTAGTAAGTGTTTTCCCTAGTTTTCTGAACTTATTCCTTCGTCCTACCCTTACCCACTTTAGCACGTATACTCAGTTTCCTTTATGCTTGACTCCCGCAGGCTTTTGGTATCGAGAAAGTGTCCAGGGGATGTTTCGAGTTCCCAAATAGATTAACCAAAGCGTAGCCGAAGAGGAGCCCTCAGAGTGTCACGAAATCCCCCCTCTCCCGATTTCATCAATTTCTACCCCAGGCGAATGGGTGGTGGTTAGGTGGAGGAAAGGCTGGAGGCAGTTCTCTTTTGAAACATGTAGTCTCCAAGATCCACAGTAGCGTAGTGAGGAAACTTGTGTACAATTGCTGAGATGGATCGAAAGGTCTCCTCTGTCCCATTTTTCGTCTGGTCAAGTTAGTCACGAAGGGTGTTTGACCTTGGTTTGAAGTTGTCTTCAGTCCTCGCCAATTACAGTTCTCCTGTTAGCATGCATTTTTTGTGCTCAGTGGTAGTGTAATGAGGAAATTTGGCTCTGAATGCTGAGGTGGAGAAAAGATGCCACCTCAATCACATATTTTCTCTGTTCAAACCTTATGTGATTGTCGTTTGACCTTCGCCGGCTGTATCTACAGTACAGATCAAAGGCAGTTCTCCTGTTAGCACACATTTGAATGCTTGCCGCTATCATAGCAAGGAAATTTGGCAGCAAATGTTGAGATGGAACTAGAATGCATCCTACAAACCAATATTTCCTCTGTTTAAACTAGCTATGCATGTTATTTGACGTTGGCTAGTGGCCAAAAGCACTTCTCCATTGTAATATGCATTCCGTAGGCTTTTTGGAGAATTGCTTTTGCGATTTGGTCATAATTGTTGGGATGGAGTCCATGCCTTTTCAATCGTGGTTTTACCCTTTTCATGTCAGACATGATTGCTGTTTGAGTGTGTCTAAAATTTTCTTTACTACAGGGCAAAGACAGTTCCCCTATTTAAAATGCATTCTTTTCTCTTGGCGGTAGCCTGGCAGGAAATTTAGCTGGAAAGTTTAAGATGGATCCAGGATGCCTCCTCAACCATATATTTACTTTGTTTAACTTAGTCCTGATTGCCTTTCGACCTTGCCTGTTGTTTTTTTAGTGCAGACCAATGGCAGCTGTCGTGTGAAATACGCATTCCTTCCGCTCTTCGTTATTGCGGTGGGGAATTTTGTTTATAAACGTTGCGGCTTAATCACAAACGTGCATCTCTGTCAATTTCGCTTTCCCGCCTGCCGTCTGTTATTTAGGGATGGGCTGGTTTTCTTCTCTGCCTGTATTTAGAACGTCTCCTTCGAAGCAGTATTTTTCAGCTTACTGGCAGTTAAATTTGTCTTCCAGGCGAAATATTTTTAGATAAATTTAGAGTGAGGGCAGCTTAGCGCAACATCTATTTTTTGTTTCACCAGATTTTATTTCCATTACTATGCATTTTCACACTAGCTATTTTTTTATTGCTTTTTGGGGCATTTTAATGCCCAGAGTAGGCGACAACTTTCGCTATGGACAGAGACTGGAATCCTTCCGCGCTTATCTTTCCTTTTGGTGTGAGACTGAATGTCTTTGCCCTATGTGACTCATGTGGCTGGGTCAACAGCTTCTGGACGACAATAAACGATGATCGAATATGAAAAGACAACATCCTATGTTGAAGAGAAAATGGCAATTTCGTGCAGACAGTAAGAGCACACAGCCCATGGAAGGGTTACAAAGCACAGTTCTGTCGATGAAGGCACTCGTCTACACACATTCAATGCAACGCCTAACTTTGGCCGTATGAGCATAATTTCGTCAAATTAAATATCTTCCATACTCTGGGTGGCTGCCCGAAGCAACATGGTTGCTGTAATAAAAGGAGTCACTATCTGCGCACTATAAATGGTCTCCTTCTCTCACTAATGGAATGTGGGCGTTGACGATTTGAAAGTGATGACTCCTGCTAAAACAAGTAAATGGGCAGGTAGGTAGAATATTTGTTCGTTGAATAGGACACGTGATTTCTCGTGTTTTTATAGCCTAATTGTGCATGCCCTCATAGCTCCCTATTTTAACTGCAGGACGTGAGGCGATAAAGATGTGCAAATGCTTAAGAAGTTAGCTTCTTATGCAACATAACTTTGTTTAAATCCCTTTATAAATTGATTGCCTAATCAGGTACATTCAAATGCATCATGTTCAATTTTGGTCTGCTAATACCACGAACACTGCGGCTTTACCCTTCATCTTTGACTTGTCAATCGAGATCCAATTTAGTACTTGTCACATTCGCAATCCTATTGTTTTTAAGAAGACGATGACATCCATACTTAAGGGAGAATATGTTTTGTTTCGAGGTGCAAAAGTGGTAGATGATTGGTAGAAGGACAGCAGTCTCAAATGATCACCTACTCTTATAAAACTGCAATTCAGAATGTAGCGCCAACCATCCCCAAATTCGCTCTATTTCGAACCAGATACATTAGGAGTTAAGGAGGCTATGGAGTTTCATATGTGCACTGTATCCGTGAATGAGGAGGTGGTGCACGTTCATTATTTTCAACAGCTGATGGGCGTGAGGAAACAAGTAGGTGCATATTTGTGTCGAGCAGTACCATTACTTGAATAATGGGGCGACAGATTTCGATATTGGCGGACTAATATCCTGTCTAAGTGGCACTGCTCAAAGCTTGGAATAGCTTATTGCAAAAGGCAAGGGGCTGCTTACAGATAGGATGACCCACACCCATGCACAATTTGTGCATTTCAAGGCAGATGAAAGGTAATTTGAGAAGCAAGCATCAAAGAGAAGGAAAACTTTGTGCACTTGTGCTTGAACTTCTTGTATTAACCACCTCAGTTGCCGCTATGGTTTCATTTCCCTCTAAAAACAATGGGTCCGAAGTACTCTGAAGCATCTCCTTTGGCAGTCTAAAAGTTATGTAGGTTTAATATGTAATCCTTGAATAAATAAGGGCACTATACAGCAAATGAGGAAGAGGAATGAGGTTAGGCATTTAACAAAACTAGTGATAGGAGGATTAGCGGGAAAAAAGAAGGTAAATTGCAATTGTATGCCTCTTGACCATGAGCCGAAGCATGGAAGCGCAGATGGCTAAAATCGTGACTTAGTGTGCACCTACCAATTGTTTGCTTAAAAATCAGCTACCTGTCTGTGGCTGGCAGCAAATGCACGTGTAAATTGTCGAAAATTGAAAGCTTGTGTTCTGCAAAATATTCAACTCAGATCAGGCGCCTTCTTTTGCAACCTGCGCATGTTTCATGCTTTGTCTATCATTCAACTTCCTTCGTGCACAAAGGTGGAGGTGGTCTTGAAGCCTTGGAAAAATCCTTTCTGATGGCTGCTGCACTCACTTAAAGCATGGCAATAATAATTTCCTTATCCGTATTTTGTGCTCTAGTTTACAGAGCATGACATCTGTCTCCTCGCGTTAGTGACTGTTATGCTCACCACTTGAACCAAAGCGTAGTGTAACAGAGCATCCAAATTGTGCGCCTCCTGGAATAAAGTATTCATGGCTCGATTCCAAAGTCATTAGTTCCATCTCTTTCATTGCCCCAGGCCAGTTAGCTCCCTAGGCGATAATTTGTGTGTGCGTATGTGTTTACGCCAATTTGTGCTACTGTAAAACCTAAGCTAAAGGGAAGGTGCCCACTGTTGTCGTGATGATGCTCTACAGGTTCTAGAGCAATGACAAATGCAAAATTGCATCACTGACCGCTCATTAACACATTAGAATTGCTTCACATCTTTAATGGTGTGAGGCGTTATGCATTAATCTACCAACGTATATGAATGCTTGTATATTCAATACATTAGTAGGTTTTACTGAAAACATGAAGTTGTGCCACAATGTTCTAAAAGTGACATCTCTTTTTTACGCATCAGGATAAATGGGTGAGCGAATGAGTAAAGTGGGCAATTTGGCATATCACTGTGAGCTAACCTGACTGCGTATCCGTTCATTTAAAGTAATCATGCATTCAAAGTAATTTGCCATTGAAACAGAATAGCCATCTCTCCAACAACTGACCAAAAACAGTGAGCTGATTCTTCATGACCGAACTAACACCCTCATGCTAAAAGCCATCTCAACCATTCAACATTCTCTACATGAGATACACTCATCTCTAGCAAGGCTGCAGGATGTTACTATTTAAATAAAATCATAAAATATTTGTCTACCGATTGTATGATAAGGTTGTGCAACGACCGCATGTTTTCTTGTAGATAAACCTATATGCGTTTGAAAAGAATTCATGCATTAGATGTTCGGTACGATTAGTTGATTATCATGTAGTGGATCAGCCCATGTATACCGAGTTCCAATTCAGCCAGTTGTGGTCTCACAGTCACCTACTTAAGGATTCAATTATTGCCCAGTATTTCAGAACAATTTTTTCTCACTTATCGAAGTCTAGTTCTGTTTTATCAATTGATTGCTTTTGCTTTCTGCTATTTTGGGCTATTAGAAACACAAAGTGTGTGTCCTCTTGGCAGGTGTGACTTGCGAAGTGGTTCCACTTCTGGTCAATGCAAACGATGTGGTTCCTTCTACAACGTCGGACACGGCAGGGATAGTTTAATTTGTCTTGCTATGTGTGCTAAAAGCAATAGCGAACAAAGGATTTTTTTCATTTCTAAGCTGAATCTCATTTCCTATTTGTCATAACAGCACATATTTATGCACTCCACACCTGATTGACAATACATTTGATCATTGACGCAATTTACATTTTACAAGAGAACACTCACGAAAATGCAGAGAAAAATCGTCGTCCAACCTAGAGAAGTGACAAATTCAAATTTACGTGTCCTCTCATTGCACGCGTTATTACAATTTTCCGCTTTACTCCTCGTGACCTACTACTTGACCACCTACTACTTCTGCGGTGTACTTCAAACAGGTCATTTAACACGGAACGCGTCTTTCCAGCTTAATAACAGTCCATGAGTCCATTTGGAATTTTTCGATCGACTGAAGAAGAAGACGACATGTTGGGAAGTGACATACATTCGAGCAACTTCTTTATCCCGACTGCTCTCAGTTCAACTCATTTCAAGGTGAGTGCTGCCTGTCTCGCGCTGAACTTACGTGGATGTTACGGGATGAGACACTTTAAGCCCACGTAGGACTCTATCACCATACTTGATTTTCACTTGCAGTAGAGTGATGGGCTATACACGAGGGCCAGGTAAAAGCCTTTTGTGCGAGGTAATGGAGATCAACAAGCACTGATATTGCTATCTTGAGCTGAAGGGTCCACAAAATTCTAGGATGAATGTCAAAACCTCATTCGTTATGCGTTGATTCACCGTCATGATGCATGCCTTGAATCAGCCTGCTATTACATTCTAGGACACATCGCATTTAATGAGATTTATAACGGTACATCATTCCGACATGTAGTGTGATTTTACCAGTCTCCTTCCCCTCAGTTCACATCCTGAAAGCAGTAAGAACGTTGATGCTTCCTGTGCGTTGGCGCCTATTGTTGATGTGTCCTTCCACGGTGGAGTCTAGACGACCAATTTCTAAAAACGAAATAAAATACATGGCTCACGTCCACAACATACCTGTTGATCTACTATTAAATAGTGACGTCTTCCCGCAATGTAAGTGAATCTGCAAATAAAGTCCTAAGGCGCATCGTGTGTGCTGGTAGCAGAGAAAGCGCAGTGTAAGGACAATTATGCTGCCAACCGCATGCCTAAAACGGTATTTGAATAGTACCGACCACAGTAATTTACTTGGTAATGAAAATGAAACCAAATGAAGGTGCCAGTAACTGCAGCAGAGCATTACCTTATCACCATCCTAAACCTGTGAAACTGGTGCCTTAAATACGCCCCTTGATAGGAGACCAGCAGAACCAGAGGAAAGGCGAGACAGAAGATGGTGGATAAATACGTCCAGATCTCAATAGATTCAACCTTTTAAAATGAATTGTGGATTCAGTAAAATGCATTCACCTTTACAATCATACGAAAATGAAATATTGAAGATGCAATATGAACATGCAGTTCCGTTCACTTTTACTTCTGTCACATGTATTACCGGAGAAATTGTACTACTTTGGGTAGACTGATGTCACTTCTTAAATCATGCACCCTATTCGTTGTGAAAAGACTGAATAGCAATGTACTGCTATGACACTTGCCGGTCTGCATCAAAAAGTCCTACTTTGATACCTGAGTGATTTTCGATGGCACTAGACGAGTTGCCATTCATTGGTGGATGAAGAACTTATCGTATACACAAAATGCGGCCTACGTAGAAAACGAAGCGGTTGAAGTCGAGTGTCCGCATGGCAGGTCCGAGTATCTGCCAGAGACCGAGAAATACGATAATATTAAATACGACGATGCCCCAGGTCAGGCGACGCAGTGAGGCCAGAGCTCTGCGCACCTCTGACAAGGCGGGTTTCTTCTCGCTTAGACGTGGGGAAAAGCGTAGATCTGTTTGCCTGGCCACCAGACCAATGTTGCCAGTCGGATGTGAGTATGGGATGATGGAAACGTTAAGAAAAGTCATCATCAGTTCTGTTGACCCCTTTTCGTTGAAATAGTACTGTGTTGCATAAATGCTGGAGGATGTCGTAGAGAGGCCATACTCTTGCAGATGGCATGAGGTAATGGAAGACGCGACCACCAAGTGGTTGAGTTAACTGACCTACCTAGTGTAGACCTCAGGCCAGGGGACCAGGGGATTGTCGATCTCCTGTACACAGCTCCACACACCACGGGCTACCTTGGGTGATAGGGGCTTGGTGAGCAGCAGAGTGAGTAGTGCAGGTAGCAGGAAGCCACCCAATAGTGCCACATTCATCCCTATCAGCCGAATCTGCTTGGTCTCTGGTTGTTGTGGTTGTTGTTGTTGTTGTTGTTGACGTCGAAAACATAAAATGGAAGTAATGAAACAAGAGTTCCCACACGAATGGTGCAGCACTTCTACCTTAGTAATTGTCCTTCCTACTTTCTAACCATTAGAATGGGGCGATCTTTGGACTGTGTGTTCAAAATGGAGGCCAATTTCGTCCTATGCTAGAATGCGCCCAAATTAAATGGAGTTAGCTCTACATCATACTCAAGACCACAGGCGGTGGTGCACTTGATAGGGCGTCGTGCTAACTACCATACATCACTGACTTTTTTCCTACTATAATGCTAAATAATTGATTAAATGTGTCTAAGCATCCACCACCGACAGTGGCATTTACAATTTTCCACATTCTTATAAAACATTTTGAAGGAGCTCCAACCGACCACGGCTCACGTGTATGTACGTCACTGGACTGCCATCCAAGGTTGCTCCCCTGGAATGTATGACGTTTGCTTTCCAACTGAATTCGTCGACCGCTTGTACTCTTGCTGTATACTTAGTAATTGTGCAATTGAGAATTCACATTTGTTTTTATTTTATCACCTGTGATTTTGTGCACTCCTTGGATTTGTATGAAGCATAAATACAATTGGAAGCTGTCTATAACCAACAGAAGCGGCACATTGCAGAGCACG